AATACTGATCAAGCTTCCATGCCAGAAAATACAGTTGCACAAAAACTCAGCCATCCTCTTGGGATGAATGTGATGGAGTTTACTCGGGCTATACTTATCCCCTGGATCAAGGTCGGCCGAGACTACGTGCAGAAAGCCCAGACCAAAGAACAAGCAGACTTTGCAGTAGAAGCACTGGCAAAAGCTACCTATGAGCGGCTCTTTCGCTGGCTAGTTCACCGTATTAATAAAGCCCTGGATAGGACCAAACGCCAGGGAGCATCTTTCATCGGAATTCTGGATATTGCTGGATTTGAAATTTTTGAGCTGAACTCCTTTGAACAACTTTGTATCAGCTACACCAACGAGAAGCTGCAGCAGCTCTTCAACCACACCATGTTCATCCTGGAGCAAGAGGAATACCAGCGGGAAGGTATCGAGTGGAACTTCATCGACTTTGGGTTAGACCTGCAGCCATGCATTGACTTGATAGAGAGACCCACTAACCCCCCTGGTGTGCTGGCCCTTTTGGATGAAGAGTGCTGGTTCCCTAAAGCCACTGATAAAACCTTTGTTGAAAGACTGGTCCAAGAGCAATTTTCCCACTCCAAGTTTCAGAAACCTCAGCAACTGAAGGACAAAGCCGATTTTTGCATTATACATTATGCAGGGAAGGTGGACTACAAGGCAGATGAGTGGCTGATGAAGAACATGGACCCTCTCGATGACAACGTGGCCACCCTGTTGCACCAGTCCTCAGACAGATTTGTGGCAGAGCTTTGGAAAGACATGGACCGTATTGTGGGTCTGGACCAAGTCACCGGTATGACTGAGACTGCATTTGGCTCTGCATATAAAACCAAGAAGGGCATGTTCCGTACCATCAGACAACTCTACAAAGAGTCTCTCACCAAGCTGATGACCACTCTTTGAAACACCAACCCTAACTTTGTTCGCTGCATCATTCCAAATCATGAGAAGCGAGCTGGAAAACTGGACCCACATCTAGTGCTAGATCAGCTTCCCTGCAATGGAGTCCTGGAGGGGATCAGAATCTGCCACCAGGGATTCCCAAACAGGATCGTTTTCCAGGAATTCAGACAGAGATATGAGATCCTAACTCCAAATGCTATTCCTAAAGGATTTATAGATGGCAAACAGTCTTGTGAGTGAATGATCTGAGCTTTAGAGCTGGACCCTAACTTGTACAGGATTGGACAGAGCAAGATGTTTTTCAGAGCTGGTGTTTTGGCACACTTAGAGGAAGAAAGAGATTTAAAAATTACTGATATCATCATCTTCTTCCAGGCTGTTTGCAGAGGTTACCTAGCCAGAAAGGCCTTTGCCAAGAAACAGCAACAGCTGAGTGCCTTGAAAGTCCTGCAGCGGAACTGTGCCGCATACCTGAAACTGCAGCGCTGGCAGTGGTGGTGCGTCTTCACAAAGGTGAAGCCTCTCCTACAAGTGACTCGCCAGGAGGAAGAGCTTCAGGCCAAAGATGAGGCACTGTTGAAGGTAAAGGAGA